GGTTATGGCAGTTGAGACTTCAGAACCTAACACATCCCACACCGCCTTGTAGAACCCTGAGGTAAGACCATCGGGGCCTGGAGCTTTGTTGGGGTTGACTTTAAACATGATCTTGGTAATCTCTTCAGGAGAGGGGGTAGAGAGCATTTTTTGAGAGGTAGGTGGAGAACAACGGAAGGGGGTCAGAGTTTGAAACCAGGAGGGTTCAGAGTAGAGTGAGTAGGGCGGGAACTGGCTTGGAGCGAGGATGTTTCTGAAGTGGGACACGGCATGGGTGGTCATTTCTTGTGGATTGGTGGGAGGACGTCGTTGTCCAGTAGGAAAGATTTGATAGAGTTTGCATTTGTGCGGACTTTGAGGATGTTGTGGAAGTAGGATGTATTCTGATCACCATCTCGAAGCCAATTAATCCGTGATTTTTGGCGAAAGTAGCTTTCTTCTATCCCTTTTAGGAAGTTCAAGCGAGTGCTAATGTCTCGTTCATGTTGGAAAGAGATCGCAGACGGAGCTTGAAGAGACTGTACCTGCGCATCCAACAATAAAAGGTTAGTTTCACTCACCCTGACCTGAATTTGTGAAAAGTTCTCTCTGTTTAAAAGTTTTAGATTTCTCTTAATGATCCTTTGCTTATAGCATAACGCTGATAGGTTATTTGCAATGCTTCCGGCCTGAATCCATGCCTCAACAACTGTTTGATGAAACTTTGGGTGTTTGGTTAGGTAGTTGAAGAATTTGAAGGGACGGGTTCCAGCTTTGGGAAGGAGATGGAAAAGGTCGAGGAGGCAAGGAGAGTGGTCAGAGATAAGGGGAGGGTAAAAGGTGGCAATGCTATCGGGAAACAGGTTGATCCAGTGGTTGTTTACTAACAGCCTGTCAAGCTTTTTTGCAATAGGATTCAGGGGTTGGCGGTTGCTCCAGGTGAAAGTCGGCCCTTGGGATCTTAGATCAAAGAGCCCCATTTGATTCAGGCAGTCTCTGAATTGATGCATACTAGAATCGTTTGCATTGACAGACGGGAGGGAATGCTCAGAGTGGTCAACGATTTGGTTAAAATCACCACCAACAACCCAAGGGCAAGTGTGAAGAGAGTAGGTTTGTTGCAAATTCAGAAGCTCAACCCATAGATCCGTTCTATCACTCCCTTGATTTGAGGCATAGACAGCAGTGAAGACATACTGGGTTGCATTGGGGAGAAGGACTTCACAAGTGAGAGACTGACTGGATTGGTGCATCACACGCAAGGAAGCTGGTGATTTCCAGATGAGGATGATACGACCATCAGCATCCGAGAGATGGTTGGATGTAAAGTTCCATCCTTGACAAGTCTTGTTCATGATGTGGTTCAGATTGAGATTAGTGATGTGAGATTCTAAAATGGCTCCAAAAAGTGGTTGGTTTACTCTTATCCAATTAGCAAAAGGCTGGTGCTTATCCGGGTCATTTAAACCCCGGATATTCCAAAAAAATTGTTTGATATTCATAGAGAGGTGGGTGGAGCATCTCCCAAAAGAAGGGGAGAGCCATCAAGAAGCAAAAACTGATTTTCAGTGAGTAATGGTTTTGTGTTTAGCACAGGAGTTATAGATTTATTTGAGATTTCAAGGGAGATATTTGGATGGTGTGATTCAGCCTGAAGGACGAGGACTGAATCTTTAAAAAAGGAAAGGCGATTTAGGTTTGTGGGGCTAGATCTTGATCTTTTAAGAGAGGGTTGGGGAAGAGGTGAGGGTGGAGAGAGGGTTTCAGGGAGAGGACGGCCCCTCAGAGAGAGCGCATTATCAGTACGACGTAGCGGTTGAATAGCATTAGGATTCAGCACAATAGGGGTGATAGCTATCTCTTTAGTCGAATCAGAGATCGAAGTAGAGGGAGTATCCTTAACCGGGGTCAGAACAGAGGTGGTTTGGGTTTCATTCTCTTTCTTGCCTTTCTTATTCTTTCCTTTGACATCAGACACTTTAGAAGGGTCAGTCTTTTTTGTTGCAGGGGCAGGAGGAGGAAGGCTGAGACAGTTCTTCGCAATATGTCCCAACTCCTTGCAGTGCGAACAAGTGGGAGGGAGCCATGGGTATTCAACAGAAACTTCGACTACCTCTCCACTCTGCCTCTCGTACTCCACTACGCCAGGTAAGGGTTTGGTGAGATCTACTTTTACTTTTACATGAGCAAGAGTCAGGCTCACCAGATTCTTTGTGAAGTCATCAGTTTCGATAGGATCGCCCACCAAGCCCGAAATAAGGCTGAGCCCCCATTGGGTACGAAGATCCAGCGGGACACCTCTCAGATGAGTCCAAATGGGGATTGAGTCGAGAGCAGGAGATTTGGAAGAGTGGTTAGTAGTCCATGGCGCTGTGTGAAACATAGAATCACCGACATACCAAATACATTTCTCAAGAGCTTTTTGACGAATGAAGTCATTTGGGATTCGGACTATCATGTTGCGCGCAAGGGTGTTGAGGTGAATTTCAATCTTTTTTCCTTTACCCCACACATGGTTGAGCACACTCTGAATCTGACTATAGGGCGGGGGACGCCCGTTAAAGTAGCAGATGATGAAGTCTTTGTGCAGTTCAGCTCCATGGAGGAAGACTTCATCGGGTATAATCACACGGGGTCTTCCCGTGTCGGAGAGGGCTACAGGCGACATCCTCTTGAGAGTTCTGTCCTCTCTCATCTTTATCCTTGCAGCTAGTGATGGGGCATCAGCTTGTCCAGAGTCTGGAGGATTCGAGCCATTCATATTGGCAGGAATTGAGGGGCAGGATTCCTCAGAATTTGAGTTGTGGAATTTTGAAAGGAACTGCATTAAGGAAACAGCAGCAGGGTTTTGACTGTTTTGGGTTGAGGTGTTGGGAGTAGTCAATCGGAGGGAGGGTGGCTTGGGAGACGAAGCAGGGTTGGTGAGAAGAGGAGAGGATGATTTTGGGTTGAGGACAGTGAAGGTTGGGGCAGTAGTGTTTTCTGGAAACTTAGTTTCCAGGATAGGGTTTACAGTAGCAGTGGAACAAATTTTGGGGGAAACAGAATCTGATTGCAGCATTTCAACATCAGAGTCAGTAGGGTGCAAGCTAACCAAAGGAGCAGTGGAAGAAGACTCGACCAAGGGGGTTGCAGGCTTCGGAGAGGAAGCAGTTTGCAAGATGGTCTTGGCTGGAAAAGAAGAGACAGAGGTCAGAGGGGGGAAATCTTGAACGGCTAAAGGGGAGGACGGGTCAGGGGGGTCAGGGGGAAAAGGTGGGGGGCGGGAAGATCCACCAGCAGTGGACGGCGATGGATTCAGGGCGGAAGCGGGACCATTCGGAAACCACCGGTTTTGCATTAGAAACCGGGCCAGGGAGAAAAAGACTTTCTCTTGTTAATACTAAAAAATGTTGGGGGAGATTATGTGGCGTGACTAGCGGAATGGGACCGACAAAAGAGGTCGTGTGGTGGGAGTAGTCGACCCGTGTAGGACCATGCAGCAGCCAGCAAGCAACCCTTTTTTTTCTTACATATTACTTAAGTTATACTAAAATGTAGTTCTCCATGCAACAACAAAAATAACCTTATCCATTAAGCGTCAATGTTTTTTTTTTTTTGACACCCTAATTCTAGTGTTTTTCTCTCTTGTAGCTCCTTATATTAAAATAATATTTTAATTTATTTTATCTTTCAATAAAAATGTGTTTTGATCAACCAATTCACATATGTTCAAAACCAAACCAAAACCTATATCAACCATGACTAACTATAGCTGATTGAGAATGCAATGAGGAATTTACTGAAGAATGTCACGTCCCATTATTGATATGTCAAATATCAAAGCTAATAGCCGAGCGATATTTGGAATGACTCTCAAAACAAATTTCAATAAATTGTGAAGAGGAGAGTTTTTCTTTTCGAGTACTTAGTGATCACAACCAACCTCAATTAAATTGCAAAAATGATTAAACAAAAATTAAAAAAATAAGGTCAAATTAGATTACATGCTTAGTTATTCTTGTACAATCCTTAGCTACCTTGTTAATATTCTCTTCTCCATATAATCAACTAACAAGTCATACCACCAAATGAAGGAATGTTCAAATAAAGATCCAAAAACATAAGCGAATCCTATTGTTTCACGAAAAACTTAGCAGCGGCGCACGAAGGATGTTGGAGTTATACTGAGTTAAAACGTGTGATGTATATTAACAATTTAGTATGCCATTTTTTCTAAGAGATTATAGTCGCTAAAATCTTATTATACATATGCAATAGTTTTAACAACAACAAAAAAAAGGAAAAGAAAAGAATATATATGCAATAGTAGAGGCATACCAAAATGAAGGAATGGTCAAACAAAGATCACAGGAAGAGCCAAAGACATAAGCGAATACTATAGTTCCATACAACAAAAACTTAGTTGTCATTGAAAGGGAAAACAAAGAGAAAACTACTGAAAGAAGAACACTGAGCGAATGAAGGCGCTGCTTTATAAAGACACAAGACTCTCGATGTGATTTGGGAAAACAGTCGTCTTGAATGTATATTTCTTAGAAAGCCCGTAACGTTGTCTAAACTCCTTGCCCACAATTCTTTCAAACAAGGCTTCTCTGATACTGTTTCTCCTAGGATTGAAATATAGAACATAAAACGATTCAAACACACGACACGGTGCAAAAACAAGCTCACCAGCATCAGTAATGCCCTTGAAATATAGATATACTCCCCGTTCTCTACTAGGAGGTAAACGAATAAACCGTTTACATGTCCATTCGTCTCCATTTGCATCTTTCGAAACATAGAGATCAATATTAATGCTATATTCAACTAAGGCAAGCCGTCCCTCATAAGGCATCACACAGGGAACCAAGCTCAAACGAGTATAAGTCGTGGGATACTTTATCGGTTTGAAAAACTTTTCAGATTTGACATCGAAACTCATTATTATAGGATGATCGTTGACACCAACGAGACGAGCTATATAATACAGAATACCATTGAAGCATCGCCCATGGTCTCCACTAATGGGGCAATGCCTAGGGACACCTTTGGTTATTATTCTCCAAGATTGATCTTGAGCTCCCAATGTAATAACACGAGGCTGTTGGGACTCTTTATGCGATACGCATAGTACTTTGTGTTTACCCTCCAATGGATCGAACCCTAAATAAGACATCCAGTTATCATGACTCGGGATGTTTGGTGTGGGATGTGGTAAGGTCCAAAGCCGTCTCAAGCTTGGGTTCCTAATCTTGAATCCTTGTAATAAGAACAAGCCCTGGACGCTCTCACCTCGCGTTTCATGATAAGGGCTACAATATTTGATAGTGATAACTGTAGACTTGAGGATAAGACCCGTCGGGATTTTGGTGTTGTGGAAACGAGAAAACGAAATCATTTGATTCTGTTGATAATGTGACTAGAAGTCTTGGTGGCCGTGAAGAGGAGCGAGACGCGAAATTGCTGATAAAACTCGGAAGTTTGGTGAAAGAAGACCAGAGCTTGGACACACACCGAGATTTCAAGATCGATTTCGCAGGAAGTCTTGAGAGTATTTCCAAGGTTAGATCAAGAGGAATATGGTCGGTTTGAGATCTATCATCATCATCATCATCATGTGTTGCCCTCTGGATCTTCTCTTTCTGATCTTCTTCATCCATGTCCGATTGATTGCTCAGCAATCCTAAATGTTAATAAAAACCCTAGCTAATTCCTTCTTCCCTTTAGATTACCCTTTATATTTTTGAACTAAACGAAAATATATATCCAATGACTAGAAAAATGTAACACCATATATATGATTAAATTTCATGCAATCTTGCTATAATGGAATACCTAAAAATATCTTTATAGTGCATATATCTTTTGACAAAATATTAAATATCTTATATAAGTATATTTTGTCGAAATATATATATATTTTTTGTAATTCCGTACTAATATGCTGTAGATTGAAAAGTGCTTTTCAAAAAGAATTTGATATTATTAATTTCAAGAATTCTTTGACGCTAAGTCTGTAAGAAAATCAACGGAGAAGCCTGAAAAGAAAAAAAATAAGAATTTGTGGTAGATAACCACGTTAGTATTCATAATTTGCTATATAGAAAAAATTACTATGTAGAATTTTCTTTAATACATTTTAACCTTTATACACTCATATATATATAGCTCTTTCTCTCTTACTCTTTCTCTCTCTTAATCTCTCTCGTCTTTCTCTGTCTTTCCTTTACTACAGTTTGAAGTCTAATTAATAACGACAGAAACAACAGTTTCTCTCACTCTCTCATCTATCTTTTTCTTTCCTTTACTCAAATATGTCAATGTGTATCTGCTCAACTATTGTTTTATGTGCTCTAATGGTGTAAAAGACTGATTTTTTTAGCTTCTGCAATATGAGTTTTCTCTAGTTTAATATCAAATTTTCCGAGAGAACTACAAAATTATTGATGTTATCTAAATCAAAATTATTTTAGTTTCGTCTCTTCTTTTGAATTATGTATCTGCTTATGTAAATTAGAAATTATTTTTCTTCTTTAAATTATGGATCTGAGACTGAAAGAGAGATTGTTGAAGACGGAGATCTCGATGAGTTACGTTGGAAAAATATTAATTTAAAAGTTAACAATCAACAATTTCATTACTCCGTTAAGTAAAATATTAGAGATATATTTAAATGTTAATACCATCCAACAAATATTTTACCATATCCAAATAATATATAGCTAGATAATATATGATGGTTATCTTTGAATCCAAAAGCTGCACTCACTCCAAATTATCTTTGAATTTTGAATTAAGTTTTTAAATTGAGTGTTAGATTGCTAATATATTTTATAGAGGATTAAAATTTATTTACTATACCATATAAATGTTTTGATATATCTCTAATATTTTACTTTAAATTAACTGTATTATTAAATAAAATAGATTTAAATTAATACTCGATAAGCCAAATATATCAACTGAAATTAAGCACTCTAACGAATTATATAGTTTTATAATATGTTATGTAATTGTATAACATATATGTTAACGTGTATGAGATTAAAAGCAGCATGCTAAAGAATTATTTGGACTGCTAAAGTTTAATGTAGCTGTATAACATACATGTTAACGGTTCTGATATAATCAGTTATCGAACTAAATATAGCAATTTAGAGGTGTCAAATAATGCAAAAATTCTTTTTATTTAATTTTAAGAATGCAGAAACTTATCATGTTAACAAAATATATAGTTTGATAAAAAGTTATGTAATTATATAACTTATATGTTAAGTAAAGAAGAATGATGAGAGAAATTTTATTAAAAAAAATAATCGTAACAAAAGAAGAAAAAAGTAAAGGGTAATAACACTTTTAATTTTAACAGTGTCAGACCAATGTTACACCAATTCATTATTTTTCTTATTTGGCTAATTTTGAACAGTTTAACTCAAAAAAGATAACGAAACATATTGATATAAAGTAAATAAATGGTCTGAGTAACACCGGATTGGAAGAATGGAGTGATCTGCGGTGTTTTATGTTGTTTGGGTAGTCTTTTAGTGGAAAAAGGTTGATCAGAGAATGTACAAAGGAATTCATTTTTCATTAAATCTTTTTTTTATACGTACAAACAAAAGCCGTAAAAAAAAATACGTACGAACAAAATATTCCACTGCTAATTCCCGCAATTGTCTCCATGTGATTTGTCCTTTACTCAACTAAACTGAAACAAACAAAACGAAACACCTACTAGCGGTTTAACAAAATCATCTCACGATTGAAACCTGAAAAGTTTATCGCTACTTACAAGTTACAACTAACTAACAACGAATAAGGAATGACTTTGTTTGCATCTCTTTGGTTGTGTATCCTTCTCGATAACGAAACACAATGCTCTTTCTTTTCCTTCTCCAAAAAATTGCATTTTTGACACAACTGTGAGGGATCTCAAAAGCTTAAAACTAGACAATGTTTTGGTCCAAAAAGAAGAAGCAAAACCAATCTGAACATACTTGACGCATCAGTTGATCATGTCTTTTAAAAAACCAAACTAGGAAGAGAGTAAGATCCATGCTCCAAACACCGGGAAGGTAATCAGTGCAGATGCCTGGCGATTTCATTTTACAGATTTGTTGATGAAGGATCAGACAAAATCAAACATATCGACTTAATTAACACTTCTTTACTAAATATGGAAAAAACCAACCGACATACCATAAAAAACACCACTTCTCTGTTCGCAAGAGATGCTGTGATCACGTTTCTTTCCATCTCATGCTTGATGAAGCCTTGCAGCTATAAAGAACCAAAGCAAAACTGTGGTTACACAGAATCACTCGATCTAAATTGTGGAGAGGACTAATGTAACAATTTGAAACTAAACCTGGTGGTGATATTTGGTAACAGCTGCCCAGAGATTCTTGAACCGTGACAGGGGTTGTGTGAGATAAGATTGCATAAAGAGAGAAATCTTCTTTCCCTCCCAATGACTGTCAAATGCTTCATGAACTTTGGGCAGATGTTTTACTCTGATGTCGCTCATGAGCTAAATACAGATACACAAAGGAGAAATGAGATGATTAAACGACGATTTAAGCTTTTAATAGTTTTACTCCTCACTTTTCATATCACTGTAAGCCTGACCACTACGTTTAGTATAATACCTTTAAGAGAGTGCATCTGCTAGGTGTGTGATGCCTTCGGTTATTGAATTCTTTCATCTTCAAGATCCAATAGAAACCAAAAAAAAAAACATCGATAAGGTGGGTCTATACTATACTTGATCAAAACTCACAACTCAAAAGATTCAACAAATGAGAAAGTTGAAAGCAAAGATGAAGACCTGCTCAAGATGCTGAACCTGAATCCATTGTTCTGTAACAACTTCGGTCATCTAAAAGTGATAAGAAAAGTAGGTCAAAACCATAAGCTCATGTAGCATTTGGTCACCGCAACAAAATGAAAACTCATTACATACAAACCTTATTAGAATCAGAGAGATTCCATTTGCTACCACGGCAAAGGGAATTAAGCCCATAAACTCAAATCAAGATAAGCGCAAAGCCAGAAAAAAGTGGGTAACTTGGTACTACACATATACACAACAAGTTAAGTGAGACTATTTTGATGCCTTAACCTAACAACACCAAGTTATATGCCAATATCTGCTTAATCCGCCGAGGATCCACACATACTTAGGCAGTTGATAAGGTGGAGGTATGAAAGAATAATTTTCTACAATTTCTGTAGAAATGCTATACAGCTTATGCTTTGTATAGTAAAATAAAGGAATGAGTAAAAGTCAAACACAAGCCAGTAAACACCTGTTCAACTTCCAAAGTGGTAGCTTTAACTTTATCCTCAGCTTCTCTTGCCTTATCCTCTAAAACATGAAGCTCGAAGTTGCTTGTTCTCAAGGCAGCCCATAGGAGTTTAACCTAGCAATGCCAGACCTGTTCTTTAGATTAGTGAAGAGGGAGCAAAAATAGCTCCATCTTTGGCAGAACACATTTGGGAAATTAACCAAATATATGTTAAAGAAAAAAAAAACCAGACCTCTTCCTCCAACTCGCTTATCCTTTTTTGGACCAAAGGTAAGCTGGTCTGCGATCAAGGAGTAAGTGTCAGCAATGCGACTATCATGATAAAGTATTAGCACAGTATACACTTCAAAACAGAAACAAAGACCTTAAATTCAAGAGCAGAAACATGTTAAAAACTTTGATAAGCGTCTAAGGTTTTTAAGGTGTTGGTTATAGAATCAAACCAACCTCGAAAGTGTATGAAGCAGACTGCAAATCATGGATCTGAGCTTCAGCATCTTGGATCAACTTCTCACGCTCTTTCAAGTAAATGGTCTTAGCATCCAGATTATGTATGGTAGAATCAAGAACAGCTTCTACATGATCAGAGCCAGTCGATTCGCAGCAAACAAAAGATTACAATTAGCAAAAACGGAAAAGAGAAAAGAAAAACAATCGGAAGAGAGAGACTATCAAGAACAAGAAAAGAGAAAAAATTTATACCCAATTTTGATATTCTAAGCTTAGCTGCGTCCAGATCATTGACCAAGTGCTGATTAGAACCGATCTGCTGGATTTCAGAGGAGAAAACGAAGAGTGGTGAGACTAAAATGGTTAGAAACAGAACAGCCAAATGCATCCTCAGATTGTTTCAGGCACACCGGCCGTTTTTCCGGCGCCGGCAGCTCTGACAACAGTTGTGTCTCTTCTTCTTCAGCGAGAGCTCCTAGTTCGAATCAAAATCGTAACAAAAGTATTTCAAATACGGATTAGTGAATCTCCAATTCTTAAGCTTTTCGATTTTCTCTGTGCTTCGAGGAGTGAACCGGGTTTGAGAATTTCTGAATTGAACCGGTTGATTAAAAACAACATTTAATTTCAAGACGACAGGGATTGTAAACTCCAAACTAATAAACGGCAGGCTGTTTGGTCCTTTATGGAACTGGAAATGAAAATCTTGCAACCTGCGGATCTGAAAGACAAGACCAGAGAGGCTCGTAAAGGTAAAGCCTTGAAGATTTGCCTTGTATTAATTAGTTAAGTTTTAATTAAAATAAATTAATAAAAAGGAACAAAAACAAGGAAAAGGACGAAAGTGAGAGGGAAGATTGCATCATATTAAAAAGCTTCATAAACACATCAACGGCAGAAACACACATACGCACGCGATTCGGTGTAGAATCCCTCAAGTTTCGATTTTTTTCTTTTCTTTTGGTCTTTTATTTTCTTAAAAAAAAAACGTTTTTTTTGTTGGTTTTATAAGAAACAAGATTTAAATTAGAACAAGGGAAAAGAAAGAAAAAATAATATGATGGAGGTTGAAATTGAGATGAGTGGTACGAGCCCTGTTGTTTTTCCTTTTTGGTTTTTATCGATTTTACTATTATTATTGTTCTTGTCATATATTCTACTTTTATTTTTACGTTTTTCTACAATAATTTGGGGTGAGTAGTAGTAATCGAAAGGGGAAAAAGGGATCAGGGTTATTTGTTATGTAGAAAGCCCTAGTTTTTTCGTTCTTTGTATTTTGGGTTTGTGTTGTTGTTGTTGTTCTATCCTTGATTCTCCTTGTTGCGGCCGTTTCTGGGTTTCCTCATCGTCGTCTCCTTCTCTGTTGTTCATCATCAATCTTCCATGGATATGGGTTCTGATGGTGAAGATCAGATCAGGATCGTTCCTGATGCTAGTAACAAGAAGAAGAAGAAGATTGATAATTCCAATTCCAATTCCAATTCCAAGGACGCTCTCGCTAAGCCTAAGCGCCAGATGAAAACTCCCTTCCAGCTCGAAACCCTCGAGAAAGTTTATGCAGGTTTTAACATCAATCCAATTTTGATTCATCCTCGTTGATGTGAATTGTTTTCTGTGTTGTTGAATTTGGTTTCTGATTTTTGATCAGAGGAAACGTATCCATCGGAGGCGACGAGGGCTGAGTTGTCTGAGAAATTGGATTTGTCAGATCGACAGTTACAGATGTGGTTCTGCCACAGGCGGCTAAAGGACAAGAAGGATGGCCAGACTAAGAAACCGGCCAAACCAGTGCAACCGGCTGCTGCTGCTGCTGCTGCTTTGTCGTCGGTTAACGAGTTACCGGCTGCTGGATCGGTTCCTGAACCGGATTCCAGATCTGGTTCGGGTTCTGGGTCAGGCTGCAGCCCTTATTCGGAGTCAAGGAGGAATTTTGCGAGTGGGAGTAGTAGTTCTCGAGCTGAGTTGGATGAATACGAGAAAATGGGAAATGCAAGCTATGAGCCACGGTTGTCTATGATGGTTCGTAGAGCTATTGTCTGCATTGAGGCTCAGTTAGGGGAGCCATTGAGAGATGATGGACCGATTCTTGGCATGGAGTTTGATCCTTTGCCTCCTGGTGCATTTGGAACACCTATAGGTATATACATTACTTTCGATGATGCTTGCCTCTGTCTTATCACTTGTCATGCTTTGTGTCAGTGTTAGTATTGCAAAGTTTCTGTCTTTTTGTTTTCATGCTCTAACTTTTTTCCTTTTTGGTGTTTGGACAAACTATTGTAGCAATGCAGAAGCACCAAGTTCATCCATATGAGAGCAAAATGTATGAGCCACATGATGCCCGACCTCGAAGAGTTAGTTTTCTGACTTAACAGATAGGCTCTATCTAATTTCTCTGTTCTGAGTTATAATGTGCCACCTAGATATGTATCTCTGTTGATGGTGGCAGAGCCTGAAAATTATACCAGAGAATAAAAATGCTGCCACAACGAAATCTTACATTTTATATGCAATTGCTTCATGCTGCTTTGAGAGTTACTTAAACATTGTTTTCTTAGCTCGGGGGTCTCCTGTCGTTTCTAGCAGTTGAAATATTTTACATGATAAATTAGAGTAGCACCATCTCATATAGACCAGCTGAAGAGGTTATATAAACTGATATATGATTTTTATGGTAGGAGTATTTTTAAGAGTTTTTATTGTATTAAGGCTGACGTATCAGACTTATGGTGGTTATTGCTCTCTGATCAATGTTTAAAGGATGAATTTTGCTTTGTTGTTTGTATTCTCCTTCTCGGGCGCTGATGTAATCACATTTTCATGATATTTTCTTTTTACTACCTTGTTGAACCTATTTGCTTTTGTTGATTATAGTCTCAAGCTGCTGCCCGTGCTTTCCATGAGCAACAATCTTTGGATGATCCGTCTTCCTTTACACCTGAGATGTATGGACGATACTCTGAAAGTCATGCACGTGGTGTGGACTATGAAGTTGCACGCTCTAAGAGTTCATTTATGCACGGGAATGGGCCTTTACCAAGGTCCTATGGTAGCCATGGAAATGCATCTCGTAATTGTTCTACATCTCAACAAGACATGTCTAGCCCCATTGTTCCATCACCTCATGGTGATAGTTTCCTGATGGAGAGAGACTCAGTCGTCCGGACTGAAGATCCATATTTGCTATCTGACGGGGTGCGTAAGAGTAATGATGTGCATAGGAAGGGAAAGGTAGCTTCCTGTGCCAACCTAAATTTCATCCTTTTTTGTTGACAAGATGTGTTTTGATTGTAATGTTATTGTTCTCTGTTTACTATCGCAGATTAACGATGGTAGAATTGGAAGAGGGAGTGAAACCCGAGAGAATCGTGGACAAAAAGATCTTGAGAAACTAGAAATTCAGAGGAAAAAGGTATTCTCTATATTTCTCATCCTTCTTACTGCTTATTAGAAAGAACTTATTGTCTATTATTAGTATCCCTGTAACATATACTGATAAGTTGAGACTTGTGTCCTCAGAATGAAGAACGCATGAAAAAAGAGATGGAAAGGCATGAGCGTGAGAGGCGTAAAGAAGAAGAGAGGTTGATGCGTGAAAGAATAAAGGAAGAGGAGAGGTCACAGCGTGAACAGCGACGTGAAATGGAAAGAAGAGAAAAGTTCTTACAAAGAGAATTTGAACGAGTAAGTTTTGAAAACTATACTCAGTTTTTATTTTTTTAGTATTTTAGGAACCCTGCTGAGATTGAGCAACTTTTTTTGTAAGAGTACGGAAAATAAGACTTATCTTTCTGTTTGGAATGTTAAAGGCGGAGAAAAAGAAGCAAAAAGAAGAGATTCGTCGGGAGAAAGACGCTATAAGACGCAAGATTGCCATTGAGAAGGCAACTGCACGTAGAATTGCTAAGGAGTCTATGGATCTAATTGAAGATGAGCAGTTAGAACTAATGGAATTGGCTGCTGCTAGCAAAGGATTACCGTCGGTATTACAGCTTGATCATGACACATTGCAAAACCTTGAACTGTATAAAGGTATGGTCGCTCTTCCAAACCATGAAATTGATTTAGCTAGTCTTGGATTTAGTACTCACAATCCTAATGGTCTACTTAGATTGTAGGATTTACAATAAATGAACAATTTGTAGCTTCTCAATTATATTAGTAATTTATTCAAGCCTCTTTCCTCATTAAATGTTAAGGTTAATTTTGATGTTTACTTTGGTTTGGTACATGCTATGGTCTTCTTTGGAAAATTCCAAATTGATTGTAGCATGTTAGAAACACTGCCAAGAAAAATTGCTGGAGCTCATTTTCTTATTAAATTGACTATTTTGTTGTAAAATGATAGCTTTCTATATTGGTAGTAGCTATTCTACTTTGCTTTCTCGTACAATCGATCTTTCTCCATATACTAGTCAAAATCAAGATAGACAAAGTAATTTTCTTTTATACCGTACTTGATTGGCTTAGCTTTTTTTATAGTGTTGTTATTTCTTTCTAGCCTTGCAATTTACTATAGCTATTCTACTTTTTCAGATTCTCTGAGCACATTTCCACCAAAGGCTTTGCAACTGAAAATGCCGTTTACCATTTCTCCATGGAAGGATTCTGAGGAAAATGTTGGAAACCTTCTAATGGTATGCTCTATTGATTTTTACACTCTGCGTATGCTGCCTCTCATTTGAAATTTGTACCACCAGAAAAACTCTGTATCTGAACACTTAGACCAGTTTGGAATCAGTTGGGTTTGTTTTTTCACGTTTTATGCACCCTTTTGTGCGTTTCACATTTCTAATGTTGTGGTTGCTTTTCAGGTTTGGAGATTCCTAATATCATTTTCTGATGTTCTTGACCTATGGCCTTTTACCCTGGATGAGTTCATTCAGGCTTTTCATGACTATGTAAGTCTCTCTTTAGTACTCATTCTGAGATTTCCTGGTTTTCTCTCCTTTCATATGTGTTTCTTTCATTCCATTGTTCTTGCTCTGTATTTGAGATATATGTATATCCTATTGTAGGACTCAAGGTTGCTGGGGGAGATACATGTTACTCTTCTGAGATCAATAATACGAGATGTTGAAGATGTTGCTAGAACACCTTTCAGTGGAATTGGAAATAACCAATATACTACCGCTAATCCTGAGGGTGGACATCCGCAGATAGTTGAAGGGGTAACTTTCTCTGTCTCTGTATGCTAATTTCCTTATCTCTTTTTGATTGGTTCAGCGGGGCTTCATCTTTTTTTAATGCTTCCTTCTTCAGGCTTATGCATGGGGCTTTGACATTCGTAGCTGGAAAAAGCATTTGAATCCACTAACGTGGCCTGAAGTACTGCGACAATTGGCTCTCTCTGCTGGTTTGGGGCCTAGGCTGAAGAAAAAAAATTCCCGATTGACCCATACTAGTGACAAGGAAGAGGTACTTATTCGTGTTTGTGTGTCCTCTGAATCCTAACGATTGTTTGCTTAGGATGTAATATTAGTACTATACATGGAAACAATGTTTTGAAATCATGGAGGCTAGGCTAGGCTTTTCACATGAAGTTTCCAGAGGTTTTAACTTTTTCGTACACGCTGTTTTTGTCTGATTGTGTACGCAGGCTAAAGGTTGTGAAGATATCATTTCTACTATTCGCAGTGGTTCAGCAGCTGAAAGTGCTTTTGCATTAATGCGGGAGAAAGGGTTGCTGG